AGCTGAACAGTTTCAAAACCATTTTCCACGATCTGAGGGGATCACAACTCTACTTAGGAGCGGATTAAGGGGCGGTTACATCCCACTAGCCCCACAAAGGAGCGAATTAAGGGGGCGGTTACACCCCTTAATCCCCTATAAATAACTGAAAAATCAGTTTAGTTGCGGGCTTTTGGATCCGGCTCTGGGGCAGCAAAGAAGAGATCATTGGCTTGTCTAACCAATTACGGTTAAGATCAATCAACTCATCAAGAGTTCTAAAACTTGTTTTGCAAGTTCTCCACAACGTCAAATCGTGAGGAGGAGATATCGTTACAGTGAATCAAGATGTGCGGATCGTCAACGAGAAGCAAACTCGACACGAGCATTCGAGGGAGGCATCTCATCGCTATCGTGAAGAACCTAGAATTAAACAAAGGGGGGAATCCAGATCATTCTTCTCTATTTTGTAATCAGGAAATCCAATTGTAACTGAGATTAAAGGAATACAAATCAATTTTTCTTCGTTTCTTTTACTACAAATTTTTCCACAAACAAAAGATGGCGACTCCGCTGGGGAGAATCTTTTCTGACGAAAAAGTGGTGGTGCGATCCGATGTTCATCTCACTGGAACAACCATCGAAACTCTTATTGTTGAGTTTGATCAAGCCAAGTTTGAGGAGGCTCTCTCATCCGGATCCCTTAGCCCCAAGGCTATGCGCAAGATCCACAAAGTCTCCAAGGAGACTAAAGCTCCAACTATTGCTCCTATGCCGAAGGAAGCCTTCTCCTTCAACCAAGAATGCTCGAACAGCCCCTCCTCCGAAGGAGTGGGCTCAGCTTCGGCCAAACTCGTCCACCGAGTTGAAGGCTCTGTGTTCGTTCCAAAGCGACGTTTCTCGGGTCACGAAAGGCCCATAACAGCGACCAACTCTGTCGACGACATCGCTGCAAAGGCCTTAAAACATGCCAACAAGAATGCCGCTCGATGAAGAAGAAGATCTTGACGACGAGCACAACTCCGAGAAAGTCGATCTTCCAACCAACGCGAGCTTCGCGTTCGTGAGCCTAAACGCGACCATGTGCTTTGCGTTTCTGCTTCAGAACGCCAGCCTCGCATCTATGAGCCCAAACATAGGTTCTGTGTGAATAAGACTCAATGCAGCCTTCAGTGGTGCATTGTACAGTCAAAACACAGCCTTCAGGAGTGCGTTCCATTAACTGAACACAACTCTCAGGTATGCGTTTCAGAACCAAAAAGCAGATCTCAGGACTGCGTTTCACCAGCAAAACCTGGAGCTCAGGCGTGCGTTCGGGTGATGAAATCTAATACAGAACCTAGTGTATACCGTGGAGCTTCGGGGCGCTGTCCCGAACCCCGCTGGGGGGTAGTCCACCCCCCCGGGACCCCCCAGCCAGGGGCACGCCGCCCCCTAGATCCCCGGCTCACTGACCGGGCAGTGAGACCCCTGAATACTCTGCGTAGCGTGACTAGATTGAGGGGCCCCCGGCTCGCTGACCGGGCAGTGAGACCCCTGAATACTCTGCGTAGCGTGACTAGATTGAGGGGCGGATGTCAAAAGTCCATGGATCTAAGGCATTTAAACCAGACTAGTTTGATTGCACATGCAATGCACGTGGTTAAATTTTTATTATTTATTATAAATTTATAATTTTATTTAGGGAAATATTTGTTATTAAATTATTGAATGTAAGCAATGGATCAAACATATAGACATAAGCTAAAAATTCAACATTTGAACAATGAAATTACATTTAGTGATTGATTTGGTGATAGTACACTGATCGCATCTATAACGTGATCGATCGATCAAATATTATCACAAGAATATGCCTAAAAGTAATGTTTGATGATGTGGATGTAATTCCAAGCTCATGACATTAGAAGCTTGACTAAGCCTTTGCAATACGTGATGTATGAGTACATATATTCACGCATGAAAATTTCAAAATCCCATATATAATTCCAAACCACTCATTAAACTTTGTCCTTCCCTTTAAATAGCACCTGCTATCTTTAGCATTTCTGCATTAAACTGTCCCATTTTATGCTGAAGATCCACAAGAGAATCACTTGCTACATTTTCCTTTGAACTCTTTTTTAAGTCAACAAACGTTAAGGGTACTTTTTAAAACTTTTAAAATTATAGATTTTCAAAGTCCCATTTGTATCTTTGATTTTTTTTAAATTTTTTTGTAGGACCTTTATTCTGATTCGTGAGTTGATCCTCTTGATTGAATTGCTAACCATAGTTGCATACTTTCTTTTGAGTTCCATTGACTTTGAAAATGTCTTCAGCTTGTTCACACAACCGCTACATGCACCCAAATTAAGTGGACATTATTAGAATATATTGCTTTCCAAAAAATAAATGTTTAGGTTCAATATCTTTCATTTTTTTAATTAAGTAGAAATCTTGGTCTGATTTATATATCAGTTAAAATGTTTTAATCAAGTGGGATGAGTGTACTCAAGTCTGTTTTTGTATACCAATTAGAAAAAGTGGGATGGGTGAGCTCAAGTTTGTTTTTTGTATCCCAACTAAAACAATGAAATCACATTTTTCCTACAGGGCAAGGAGCTTCGACTTGATCTTATCCATTAAAACTTTCCTTTCAATAGTAAACTTAGCCTTCCATGAAAGTATCTATTATACCAATGAACATGTTCATCAATAATTATAACAAACTGTGAACTAATTTAAAGTTCATGACAAAGTTCTGTATATAAAGAATAGATAGGGAGCAAGTAGTAAATGAACATTTTTTACTTCTTTGTTTTATTTCTTATCTTATAACCTTTTTGTCTCATAACTTAATGATATGTGAGGGCAATCTCTCACTTGGGACTTTCTTGGAATCTTGAGTTTTTCCTAAGGGTTTTTTAAATGATTTACACTCATTTCACCCCATCCAAATCTTTAGAGAGAACAATCAACTCTTTGCGAAATAAGACCACCATAGAGACATAGACACTGTAATGCACCTTGGAATTCGATAAGCAGCATGCTCTTCTGCAGCAAAAACAAATCAGGGGCAAAAGCATAAACGCATCCGAGAACAGCAGCTAACACCGGAACTACAACATCCAGAAAAAAGACTCCGCAAGCTCAACATCCCCTTAGGATAAAAACATTTGATACAATAAATGATCCAAGAGCTGAGCATAATAGAGAAAAAAACTTGAGCAAACAGTAACATTCAATAATACCTTAATTGATAGTCATAATTAGCAAGAAATCAACCATGTCTGATGTAACACCAAGTTTCCAAATCAAAAGGACACTTATCCACAAAAAGAGAACAAAGCACTGCAAGACCTAAACTTAACTACAAGGCTACACCTCCACCCATTTAGTAAGCCATATCTTTGTGTCCAAAACCAATATATGAGGCATTCATGTTATATAATAATAACAGCTATGTACTGTCAGCAAAAGTAAGCTCCTAAAATCTTTAGTCACATCCTGATGCAATGATCGGTCCATTATAATCATAACCCGAAGTATAATAAGACACTCCAACGACCCCCGAGCTGTGACCACCATCACTATCTCCATAAGAGTGAGAACTATAACTCCATCTCCTCGAATAAGAGTCTTTTCGATAATCATGGCCACTGAATCTACTACCACCACCAAACCTATGATTTCTCCCACTTGAATAAGACGAACTTTCAGCATATTTTAAAGCCAATCTGTGACTTCTTGGTTTGCTTCCTGCATGAGCACAGCTAGAGACTTGGCCAGTTATTGGTTTCCATCCTTGAAGAATGTTGTAGCTAAGCCGTATTTGCCAGCTCGGCCAATTCGATGTACGTAGTCATCTGTCTTTAGGGAGATCAAAGTTGATCACGTGAGGCACATGAGGGATATAGAGACCATGAGCAGCCACATCTGTAGCTACCATGATTGGAGTCCAACCTCACTTGAAGGAATTTGAAGCTTTCTCACGCACCTGCAAAGAGAACATCGGTACATTCAACAAAAGTTTAAGTTGTAACATACTATTATGAATAGCTATCTGGATCAAAAGGTCAAGCATTCTGTGCATATTTTTGCTTGAACTAAAATTAACATGTAGTTCTTGCAAACAAGTATTTTCAAGAAGGAAAAAAAACATACAAACACTCATTTGTCCAACCCAATCCAGTTCAAATCACCCAGATACACTGAACCAAATTGCTTCACCTTTAATATTCATTATAGAGATAATGATAGGGGAAGAAGAAAGCCATCCAAACTCTTGAACTGGTGAAAATAATGGAAAAAGTAATGTTATTTAGCAAAATTTATGGACAAATAGGCAGCCAGATCCACTTTCCCATTGGAAAATTATAATATTAAAAACATCCATAAAATGAGGAACATCAAATTGATATTAACCCCAAGTAAGCATATCATTATAAGTATTTGAGTAGTCAGAAAAATTTAATACCAGAATCTCCAACATATGAATTGTAAATAATTTTAAGAAGTTTAGCAATAAAAAAATTATTGTCTTAAGTAGACACTGAATCAAAGAGTTAAGTCATCCAAGGTCATGCACATTGATTTTATAACATACAGGCTGGGAGTAAACCAAACATAACAAGTAAAAATGCTAAAGAATGTAATATAACTTACAGGCTAAGTACGATCTCCATGTATAGTTGTTGCAGGGAAGCCATTAGAAGTAGGAAGGCTAAAAATCGGAAATTTTAAGCCTTTTACTTATTTAACAAGACCAACAAGTCTTTCAAATTTATCCTAAAAGTCTATGTCATGATTGTCAAGAAAAGTTTCAATGGCAGACTTATTTACCCGAGCATTCCTAGAATCTGAAGCTTCATAAGGGCCCGGATCGAATTGAGCGCCCAAGGATTTATCACCCCTATTAGGGTTGACTGTTTAGTTGATAAATCTTCAATTCCAAATCAAGATTGAGACCCCTGACTATCCCAGGACAAACAATTGCAAATTAGAGGCCAGTTCATGATCCTTCATCCGAAATCATATCTTCAGAAAAAACAAGTGGAAAAAATATACGAACCGGTAATACCACTATTATTGGTTTCAGTAAGTATTTCACCATCATAAGTAGTTGGGTTAAACTTGGTAACAGCTTCACTTCCATTATTTTTGATTGCTGCCCTGTCATAAGCCCTGACCACCAACAGAAGAACTGTGATAGTTAGCAACCATGTTAAACTTCTTATTCATACTAAGGAACTTATTGCCAACATGTAGAAAATCAGTGTTTGGTAGGACCTTGCAGCTTCAATTTCGCTATCAAATAACCCAAGATATATATACCTACAACAAGAGAACGAATAAGCAAGAATAAGCATGAAGTAATGAGCATTTGGAAAACAATTACACCTACAAGAGCTTTTAAAAATGATATCACTGTTTGAGATGAGGACCCAAAAAGAAGAGAAATTGACTTGTGCGCTGCATATAGATTCTTATCAATCACAAACAAACACAAAAGCAAGGTGAAAAAAAGGAGTCGTATAAGAGGATACACATTGCTAATATTACTCAAGAAAGAGGTGGAGGAAAACCATAGGCACCCATGCAATGAAAGATGCAACTACAGTTCCCCCTCTAAAGTTTAATTTACCACTTTCTAGAATTTTAAGTTTACAACTCCCATGGTGAGGAAAATGGTTTTCCCTTGGCCGTGAAATGTCACTTTGGAACTAACTGAAGGTAGGGTAGGTGATGACCTGATTCATCTCCGACTCACCGAGTTGTAAGTAAAATAAAGATGCGATTAAATAAACACCCACACTACAGAAGAATATTAGCAAGATAGAATCAAGATAATTTCCTAGCAAGAATTAAATAAAGCATGTATATAAATGGCCCTTGCTTAGAAGATTGGTTTCTCCACAGAGCTTCGAAAAAGTATTGTACGTTTGATCAATTGTTATTCAAAATTTGTTAATGTGATTAGCATTTTTTATGATTTGTGGATATTTAGCCATCAAGAAAACATCAAGTGAACACTTTCCATACAAGTTAAAAGGTTTCACGTCTTAGCTAACGAAAAATTATTCCACTTTAACAATTATCCCATTTTGCATGAAAATGTTCTAATTGACTAACACCCCTTTAACTAATTGCCATAATTCGTATGAGTCATTTCATTGCTAAGAAATCGAGGAAGGATGTATGCCAGCACGGACAGGATTTGATACATTTTTAAAAACATACACAATATATGCTAAAAGAGTCTCTAAGAAAACAGAAATAACATGCAAGAAATATGTGTCTGATGCATGAACAACCTGTCGTCGTAGATTCACTGCTTAGTGCTTACTGAAGTAGTTGGGAACTCACCCTACCAGTCAGTAAATTGGAAATGGAACTATTGACATTATAAACTCACGTAAAAAGTGCCACTCTAGTTCATTCTTTATCCTAACATATCCGGCTGTGCTTGTAATCAATTAAAAATGGAAGAAACTTTCTATGTTTTAGAATTCAGTGAGTCATCTTGTCTATAAGTGACTTGCAATTATTGTTTCAGGGACATAACGGCTTCCACGCCTTGTCGGCCTTCCTAAAGCTCTTGAAATGATCCTGGTAAAGTACTCCGCCTTTTTCCATTTATTTTGCCTATAGAAGATTTAGAAGTTGAGAGATTATCTACAAGAACAGCAACAACTAATCTTTGCTGTGGTCACTAATTGATTCAGTCTGAAATTTCTCTTCCCTCATTTTGTCCATATTTGTCCGATTCAGATGTCCAAGCCGATTAAAGGAGAGGAAGCTCATGCACTGGGTCTTGTTGATGATATAGTACCACCTGATGAACTTGTAAAGGCTGCTCGCAGTTGGGCTTTGGATATTGTTGAATTCAGAAGACCATGGATCAAGAGTCTTTACAAAACAGACAAGATAGAGCCCCTTGAGGAGGCCAGGGAAATTCTCAATTTTGCAAGAATTCAGGCTCGTAAACGAGCTGCCAATCTTCATCATCCATTGGTTTGTATTGATGTCATAGAAGAGGGTATAGTCTTTTCACTAAATCAAGGAGAGTACAAAGGGTTACAATCACACAAATTCTCTCAAACTAACCCTCAACCAAAGATCTCACCTTGCTCACAATATCTCCCTCTCACAATGCTCAAAAGGTTCCTTAATCTCTGATAAAAAACCCTCACAAATCGTTTCCCTATTTATATCAAAACAAAACCCCAATCAGACTGCAAATAGGAAACCTGCGTATGCAAAAAACCCGCTATAAGTCGACTTAAACAAAACCCCAATCAGACTGCAAATAGGAAACCTGCGTATGCAAAAAACCCGTCGTAAGTCGACTTAACAGAGCTCACAAGTCGACTTGACAGAGAGAAAATCAACAACTGGAGAACACTTCATAAGTCGACTTAACAGACTGTTAAGTCGACTTGCCATAAGTCGACTTAACAGTCATGCTAAGTCGACTTGACAGAGGCTAAAATCACAATTCGGCTGCAGATCGTAAGTCGACTCGTGCACAGTGCATGAGTCGACTTATGCCAGTTTTTCTGGTTTTTCTGATTCTTTTCCTGATTTCTCCACAATTCTCCACCTCGGCGAATTTTGCCAAAAATGAGCCGACACCAAACCAAGAGCATCAATGTGTCGTCTCTCCAAATACGGCTGCACCACCATGGTTGCCTACGTACCCCCTCTCCCAAGGGATCAAGCCGCCCGTAGTTCATCCAAATGGCCGTCAACGGCCTCAACAATCACAAATATTCAACAAGTTTCTGCAATGATCAAACTTGTTGCTTGGAACCACCTTCGTGAGCATATCCGCCGGATTATCCTTCGTATGGACCTTCACAATCTCCACATCGCCATCTTCAAGAACATCTCGAACGAAGTGATAACGAACGTCAATGTGCTTCGTCCTCGCATGAAAAACCTGATTCTTCGCCAAATATATAGCACTCATGCTATCACAATGAATAGTGACGGATCGCTGCGATATACCAAGTTCTTCCAGAAGTCCTCGAAGCCAAATAGCCTCCTTCACAGCCTCCGTAACTGCCATATACTCTGCCTCCGTCGTAGACAAAGCCACCGTCGACTGTAAGGTGCATCTCCAACACACCGGCGCACGGGTCAAGGTGAACACATACCCCGTTGTAGATCGGCGCTTATCCAAATCCCCGGCATAATCCGAATCAACATAGCCAATGCATAACTGCCCACCTGTAGTGTCCCGCTCATAAACCAAACCAACATTGAGCGTACCTAGAATGTACCTCAAAATCCATCTCACGGCATCCCAATGACCCACTCCTGGATCGTGCATGTATCTCGACACCATGCTCACTGCCTGTGACAAATCCGGCCTCGTACATACCATCGCGTACATCAAGCTCCCAACTGCGCTCGCATATGGAGTCTTCGACATCAACTCACGGTCTTCAACTGACTTCGGTGAAAGGTCAGCTGAAAGCTTCAAATGGGCTCCCAACGGTACACTAACTGGCTTCGTATCCATGCTAACATGGAATCGCTGTAGAACCTTCTTCAAATAAGCCACCTGTGTCAAACAAATTCTGCCCTTCTTCTTGTCTCTGCCGATCTCCATCCCTAAAATGCGCTTCGCCTCGCCCAAGTCCTTCATCTCAAACTCATTCGAAAGCTGAATCTTCAACTCATCTATAGCTGACCTGGAACTTGAAGCAACCAACATGTCATCGACATAAAGCAATAAATAAATGTACGCACCTCCTCTCAACTTGCGAAAATACACGCAAGGATCAAACTGGCTCCGAGTGTACGAATGACCAAGCATAAAACCATCAAATCGCCTATACCACTGTCGAGGAGACTGCTTCAAACCGTATAGCGATTTCTTTAGCCTGCAAACCAACTTATCTTTCCCTGCAGCTCGGAATCCCAATGGCTGAGTCATATATATTTCTTCATCAAGATCACCATGAAGAAATGCTGTCTTCACATCCAACTGATCTAACTCCAATCCATACTGTGCCACCAAAGCTAGCAAAATCCGAATCGACGAATGCTTCACCACCGGAGAGAAAACCTCATTGTAATCAATACCTTCCTCCTGTGCATAGCCCTTCGCAACCAACCTAGCCTTGAACCTCACTGGAGTGCCCTCAATGCCCTCCTTCTTCGTGTACACCCACTTGCACCCAATCGCCTTCCGCCCCTTTGGAAGCTCTACAAGCTTCCATGTATCGTTCTTGTGAAGAGACTCCATCTCCTCCTGCATAGCCACCTGCCACGAATCAGCCTCCGAACTCTGCTCGGCCTCTCTGAATGTAGTAGGCACCATCTCATCGATACTCTCCACCGGAAGTGCATATGCAACTGTGTCGGCATACCGTGCTGGCACCCGTATGTCTCTCCTCTGTCTCCGTGCCGCAATAGAATCCTGAACCTGAGCCGTCGGTCCCTGATCCTGCTCATGAGTACCCGTATCCTCCGCATCACCGTCGTGCTCGCCTGGCGTCACCTCAGTCGGCACTCTCATGGATACTGCACTATCTGGACTCTGTGGAGCTGCATCAATCTCCACCACCTGCGAAATCTCCTCTGTCGGGTTGCTCTCCACCTGATGAGAGCTGGGAAGCTTCAAGATAGAAGCCTCATCGAATGTGACGTCCCTACTCAGCACAATCTTCTTATCAACTGGATCCCAAAGCTTGTATCCCTTGACACCACGCTTGAATCCTACAAATATGGCCTTCCTAGCTCGAGGTTCCAACTTATCAGTTCTAACATGATAATATGCAGGGCAACCAAATACCTTAAGCTGGTCATAGTCATGTGCTGTCTCTCCCGACCACATCTCCATAGGGGTCTTCCCCTCAATCGCAGATGAAGGCAGCCTGTTAATGAGGTGGCTCGCATAAGAAAGTGCCTCAGCCCAAAAGATCTTCTCCAAACCACTATGCGCCAATAAACATCGAATCTTCTCCAGCAAAGACCGATTCAATCTCTCCGCCACCCCATTCTGCTGCGGTGTATGACTAACTGTGAAGTGCCTCTCTATGCCCTCGTCTCGACATAGCTGCAGAAAGGGGTCTGAGGTATACTCGCCGCCGTTGTCGGATCGCAACGTCTTGATCTTTCTCCCAGTCTGCAGTTCCAATCTCTTCTTCCACTCCACAAACAAATCTAGGACTTCACTCTTATGCTTCATGGTGTACACCCAACATCGCCTAGAATAGTCATCAACGAACGTGACGAACCAATGTCGACCACCAAGTGATGCCGTCTTAGTGGGACCCCAAACATCTGTGTGCACGTAGTCCAAGATGCCCCTCGTCCTATGAATGGCCGTCCCGAACTTCACCTTCGTCTTCTTGCCAAGTACACAGTGCTCACAGAATTCTACTTTACCACTCTTGGCTCCCTTCAAAAGCCCCTGCTTGCACAATGCCTGCAGTGACTTTTCACCTGTATGCCCTAGCCTGTAGTGCCAAAGTCTGCTCATGTCCGCCTCTGAAATCGCCGAAGCAACCTGGCCAATCTCGGTGCTCCCCTTCAGATAATATAAATTATGATTTCGGACTCCCTTCATCACCACCAAAGATCCCTTAGTAACCTTTGCTACAGCATCCTCAAAGGTCACCCTGAATCCCTTCGCCTCCAAAGCCCCCACTGAGATAAGATTCTTCTTAAGTTGAGGAACGAATCTCACCTCCTTCAGCTCACGGACTACTCCATCGTGCATCCGAATCCTCACAGTACCTATCCCACGAACGCCACAGGATTGATCATTTCCCATGACCACAACACCCCCATCGAGTCTCTCAAATGATGAGAACCAATCTCGCCTAGGAGTCACATGATAAGTAGCGCCAGAATCAAGCATCCACTCCGATGCATCCAAATGGTTCACCTCCGGAGTAATCAAAAGAGAAAAGCTCGAATCATCGGAATCATCGCCTTTCGCAACATTCACCTCATTGGCCTTCGGGCCCTTATTCTTGCTATTCTCCTTTTCTTTGACTTTCGGGCAATCTCTTTTCCAATGTCCCTGCTCCTTGCAGAATGCACATTGATTCTTTCCAAGCTGGTGACGACCTCTTGACTTTGACCTCCCTCTGTTTCCACCTTTCTGATATGAGCTTCTACCTCTCGCCGACAAGGCCTCTCCTGAAGTACTAGCGCGGGAAGTCTCCTTATCCTTCCTCCTCAAATCATAGTTCGTCAATGCGTTAGTCACTTCACTATAAGTGATAGAAGATCTCCCGTTCAGCAACGTAAGCACGAAGGTATCATACTCCTCATCCGGTAAGGAGCCCAAAAGAATAATAGCCTTGTACTCATCTGTGATCTTCTCATCCACGTTCGCCAAGTCCGACAACAACTTAGTGTAGTTGTTCACATGAGCCGCAAGCGAGGTACCTCTGGACATCTGGAATCTGAATAACCTTCGCAGCAAGTGCAACCGGTTCTCAACACTCTTCGTAAGGTACTTATTGTTGAGAATTTCCCACATCTTCATCGCAGACGTCACCCCAATCACATCGTATTTCAGCTCCTGTTCCAAACAGGACCTGATCACCCCGCAAGCATTTCGATTCATCTTTTCCCATATCGCCTCTTCATATTTAGGTGGCCTCACATCGACCATGATGGTCTCCTCCAGATTTTGAGCATTGAGCGCATCCTGTACGTCGCTCATCCACAAACCAAAATTGATCTTGCCGTCATATTTCACAACACTAATCTTAGTGTTCTGAAAACCCACTTGAACTGTGCCTGTCATCTTGCTGCTTTCACCAATTACTTCACCCATAATCACAACTTCCAAATTGTAGAGAAAGATCCAAACTTTGAAAGAATAAGAAATTACCCAACTGAACCCTAGATTGGATTCCAAATAGAACTCCTAACCACACGAGGAAAGCGAGATCTTCAACGGCAACTTCAAACCCTAACTCCACCAAAGCCTAGAACTCCAAGAACCAAGCTTCAAACTGAATCTTCCTCCACCTAATCCAAAACCCTAGATCTGAATCTGAGCTTTGATACCACTTGTCGCGCGCCTTTGCGGAAGCCTTGCACGAACTCACAACGAACCTGTGATCACGAGTAGAAGAAAGCCAAACTCTTGCACAAATCCAACCAATAAAGCCAAGTCAATCCAAACACAGAGATATACGTGGTTCGGCAATTTGCCTACGTCCACGGGGAGAGGATGGGGAGATTTCACTAAATCAAGGAGAGTACAAAGGGTTACAATCACACAAATTCTCTCAAACTAACCCTCAACCAAAGATCTCACCTTGCTCACAATATCTCCCTCTCACAATGCTCAAAAGGTTCCTTAATCTCTGATAAAAAACCCTCACAAATCGTTTCCCTATTTATATCAAAACAAAACCCCAATCAGACTGCAAATAGGAAACCTACGTATGCAAAAAACCCGTCGTAAGTCGACTTAACAGAGCTCACAAGTCGACTTGACAGAGAGAAAATCAACAACTGGAGAACACTTCATAAGTCGACTTAACAGACTGTTAAGTCGACTTGCCATAAGTCGACTTAACAGTCATGCTAAGTCGACTTGACAGAGGCTAAAATCACAATTCGGCTGCAGATCGTAAGTCGACTCGTGCACAGTGCATGAGTCGACTTATGCCAGTTTTTCTGGTTTTTCTGATTCTTTTCCTGATTTCTCCACATTGAGGAGGCCAGGGAAATTCTCAATTTTGCAAGAACTCAGGCCCGTAAACGAGCTGCCAATCTTCATCATCCTTTGGTTTGTATTGATGTCATAGAAGAGGGTATAGTCTCTGGACCACGCACGGGACTTTGGAAGGTAACTTCATACATGCCTAGAGATCCTAACTACAGCCTTTTCAAGTATTTGAAGTCCCATAGCCAAAAACCATCTTCATCTTTTTGCTGAAGGCATGGCATCTGTTTTTGTTAGGAGGCAAATGCTTTTCAGGAACTACTTCATTCTGACACATGCAAAAGCTTAGTCCATGTCTTCTTTGCAATGCGTGCAACCTCAAAGGTAGAGGATTCAGAGTACTTCTAATTTGTCTGTATTAGTTTCTTGTGTGCTTGTAAATTAACCATGCAACTGGCAGATGTGTATTGCTTAGGGGTGCTAAGCCGCATTCGTCTCTGAGGAAATATCCATAACTGTATCTGTTAGGATACGAATTTGGTTACTCAAATTTATAACCAACAAGATATGGTTACAAATATGGTTTTGTAGTAAAATATCCGGATCCGGATCCGAAATATCTGAAAACATATTAGTCATACTGTTACTATAGTTTTAATCCTTAGATTATGGATTTGAGGTTAATTTGATGATCAAGATGTTTAATATTAGCTTTTTAGATATAATGAATATATTAATGAACTCTTTTGTATCATATGAACTATTTTTTTCAATACTATCTAGTTTTCTCATATCTGTATTGTATCCGCATGCATATCTGCTTATATATGCACATGTATATCCGTATCCGTATCCGATTTTAGCGGATACAAATATGAATTTTCCTTGCGGAGGTATATCCGTATCCATATCCGATATGGGTAAGCGCATATGGATATAGTAAATATCATATCCAAGCCGTATCTGGACCGAATGCACCGTTATTATGATCCATTGAGAATCTAATGTAACTACAGCTTAGGCATTAAGCTTGAAACAAATTTAATGCTCCAGAACAATCCTTATACACAACTTAGTAACAGTAGAACGAATGTTTGATGCTTCTATTTTGTTTTTTGTACAAGGTGTACAATTGACTTATCAAAACTCAATAAGTAGGGTGGCCTATGAAACTGTACTTCAAACATACACATTGTTATGGAAAATCTCCATTCCAGAAGCACAAAAAGTCAAGCTCAAGTTGAATACTTCAAACATACACATTGTTATGGAAAATCTCCATTCCAGAAGCACAAAAAGTCAAGCTCAAGTTGAAAATACTTAGAAGAGAAAGAATTATCTAATATCTCCATTCCAGAAGCACAAAAAGTCAAGCTCAAGTTGAAAATACTTAGAAGAGAAAGAATTATCTAATATACAGATGTGACTTGGTTTTGTCTTTTGGCTAATCTCCATTGACAGAAGAGGAGAAAATATCCACTAATAGAATCAAGAGTATCACGGTAGAAGAACCCCTAAAAAAATAATTCAGTGCTCTTTTTGCACTATGTATTGAAATTCTAACAACACGTCTTATATGTGTGAAATTTGCTCACTCACTCTCGATCACCTTTAATGTTTTTCACATCGTTTTACTTCATCTAGTGAATGGTGTGTTGCTTCAATCAAATGCATGATTTATTATGTTGAATGTAACTTGTTTTGTAACTGACTGAGATGTTACCAAATTACATAGATATTAATGTTCCAGACTTCCAGTTGAAATCTAAAGTAATCTTCTGCATGTGATCGTGTAGCTATGTTCTATTGATTCACATGCAAACCTGAAGGCAATTAATTGTGAAATAATTGGATTGAGACAGTCCATAACCATTTAAGGCAAACGGACAACAGGTCATACATGTATTGTATAGGAAAACTTTGATCGAGACTGAACTTGATGATTAAGAATGAAAGTAAAATTTAGAAAGCTCTAGAAAATTATATATCATATGCGCTCAAATTTTCTACTTTAAGTTTGTTTTAATAGGTTTTATATATCATATGCACAAACTCTTCCTTGGTCAGGTTCTTCATCTGAAAGAAGGAAAACCCAGGAGAAAAACCAAATTAAAACTAAATCATTCACTTACAAATAGATCGGTAGAAAATAAAGTATCCAATCATCCAGACATGTTTAAGATCATCCTCATAATCACTAATATTGAAGTTGATATCAGTATCAACCCCACGAAACTTAATCGCAGCTCGATCATGACGCCTAAAGCAAAATTCCATCTAAATTAGAAAAGGATTTTAATAAAATACGGTTCAAATTAACAAAAAGAAGTAGATAAATTGAAACAAAATTCCAACCTAGCAGTAGCATGAGCAGTGTCAAATCCCCCTAAAAACATTTAGCCAACAACAGATCAAAACTCAGTATTAATAAATTAAAAAATCAAACATAAAAAGAAAAATATAGAAATACTTACCCAAATAAACCTGCTTCCCACAGTCCCTGCTCAAGTAAAAAAGAAGAGGAAAAAAAAGAACAACCTTTTTCAAATTCCACATCAAAATGCACCAAAAAATCTAATACATCAAAATGCACCAAAAGTATATACACCTATTAATTTAGCTCCCAATTCTAACACATTAAGCTAAACTACCCCTAATGTGGTATCTTTCGCATTGTTCTAACTCAACAACGTTAAATTAGGGTTTATACGTAAAACTCCAAGAATCAATCTTTTCCAAAAAAAAATCAAAGAAAAACTAACCAAATGTGGGATTCCCATCTCCCCGTCCTCCGATAGAACGTAACTCCCCGATACTGCGAACTCCTCGATCTCGGCCCACGCCTGCTCCTCTTCATCGCCTGCTGTTGCCTCAAATCACAGCCCATTAAGCTGAGAACCAGCAAAGAAAACGAAGAGGAAGAATTTGAAGTCCCAGAATCAACGCTCAAGTCCTCTGGAGACGACAAATTCAAATTCAAAATCAAAATTTATAAATTGATCAAGACATACCAAAAATTTGAGGAGAAGATGGAAGAGAAGGTTTGTGGACGATGAGGATAATAATAAGCTTCTTGATGACGATACCCGACAATTGATGAGGTAGAGAAGTGGACAACGTTGCCGGAGGAAATTCATAACAGATGGAACGGAGAAGGAAAGGAAAGAAGATTTATTAGGGCTTTACATTTTCTGATTGGGAGGAACGGAAGAAAAAGGTACATTTGTTAATTTAATGAAAGATGAAAGGTTATTTTGGGCAGAAATTTTTTTTTTGGGTACTCCCTCTTTTAAAGGGAGAATGATTCATGTCCATCAAGAGCCAGTCCTGTCCAATCATAGACTGGGGGTTCCAGTTCAAACCTCACGATCAGTAAGTAATTCTTCTCAAGTCTTTGCAACAGATTTGAGAGAGTTCATATCGAGAGAAAGACCGATGTAACAAGTCATTCGTTCATTCCAATGTGAACGAATGATTCCTACGGTCCTCTCGGGATGTCAATGTTGTTCATATGCGGCCAAACAATTTGTGTTCGACCAATTAACGCATGTTGCCTTGCCCAACCAACAACGATGTTCTCACAGGAAGAAGTCTCTAGAGACCGAGTATCCTGGAGTTACTATCAATGTGATTGGCAGAGGGAAAGCCTCAGGTCCTAGTTCCGATGACTCTGAGACAAGTCGTTCACCGACCGTCAGAGAAATCACTAACAAGTTTGAAGGAGTCTACCAACGCACTCGGACGCGAACAGGAGCCATTCTCCCTGTCAACTATCGGAGGTTAGCCAGAGGAACCAATTTCGATGATGAACACTCAGCCATTGTAGAGTCCCAATCATCAAGCTCTTTTGTTGAACATGAGAGCTCCGCTTATATGATGGGAAATCATGAAGATCTCGCGAAGAGACTTGACGAGCAGGAGGTCATGCTCAAATCTCAGCAGGAGGCCATCAATGAACTCATGGCCCTGTTGACTCAAATCGTCGCAGACGAGGCCAAATCTCAGGAGATAGATTCGCCACCTAGGCAAGAATCTTCCAGGAGAGAAAAAGCGTCTTCATCCCGACCTCACACAAGCAAAGGAAAGGAAAAAGTGGTTGATGCTGCTGCTTCTGATCAAGAAGCTCACAACCTGGAATCTTCCTCTGATGAAGCAAAAGAGACTAAGAACGAGCAGAATCTCCAGTCTGCCAAAATAAAAGAATTGGAAGCCCGCCTCAATGTCATTGCTAACAGAAGCGAGCTCCAAGATGAGGGAGTTATCAGGCCCTATCCTGCCAAATGGGATGCAGCCTCTTATCCTCCAAAGTTCGAAGTCCCGACACTACAAACTTTTGACGGCACGGGATCACCGAACCAACATATCTATCATTTCAAGTCACAGACTGGGAATGTGATATCAAACGATGCCATACTGGCTCGATTGTTCATTAGCACCCTTAAGGGAGTTGCTTTTCAATGGTTCAGGAAATTGCCTACCGGATGTATCAAAAAATGGACAGATCTAGAGAGGCTCTTCCTATCAAGATTCTTTAAAGATGATACAGAAGTCTCCATCCATACCCTTCTCGCCACTAAGCAGAAGAAGAGGGAGTCCGTCAAAGTCTTCGTCAAGAGGTTCCGAACCATGGCTCTCCGGTGTTCGTCGGGTATGACACAATCTACCTTAGTAGAGACCTGTCGGCACAACTTGCAGACCGACCTCCTAGTCCGAATAGGAGTTACAGAATGCCGTTCTTGGAGACAACTAATCTCTCAAGGCAAACAAGCTCAAAAGATTATTGTCAGGATCAAAGCTGAAGAACAAAGTAAGCAGGATCAACATGAGCAATCGGACCAAGCTCAATCTTCTCAGTCAGAAGGAGAAGATACTACAGCCATTGAAGTCAATCCTCTTCAGTAAAATGGTAGGTCTACAACAACTATCACGTTAACAGTTACCTCTGATTGTCAACCTCGTTAGATAGTGGCCCATTAGGCGATGTGTCATGTCTACCCTTTTTCCCCCTGCACGTGTTCAAGACTGGGGGTTGGTTTATTTGTAGTTCATTAGATTATGAGTAATAAATTTTCTGAGTTGTCATGTTCAATAGAATACCTATGTCAACCATGAAATCCACCAAAACTATCACGTTAACAGTTACATCTGATAGTCTAGTTTCTTCAAATCCCCCCACACCAATCCTCTTCAATAGGATGGCGGGTCTCAAAACTATCACGTTAATAATTACCTCTGATAGTTCATTTCCTCCAAATTCTCCTGCCAATCTTCTTCAATAGGATGGTGGATCCACCATAACTATCACGTTAACAATTACCTCTGATAGTTTATTTCCTCCAAATTCCCCCACCAATCCTCTTCAATAAGATGGCGGGTCCACCAAAACTATCACGTTAACAATTACCTCTGATAGTTCATTTCCTCCAAATTCCCCCACCAATCCTCTTCGATAGGATGACGGGTCTACCAAAACTATCATGTTAACAATTACCTCTGATAGTTCATTTCCTCTAAATTCTCCCACCAATCCTCTTCAATAGGATGGCGGGTCCACCAAAATTATCATGTTAATGATCACCTCTGGTAGTCCATTCCCTCCAAATTCTCCTGCCAATCCTCTTCAATAGGATGGCAGGTCCACAAAACTATCACGTTAATATTTATCTCTGATAGTCCATCAACTTGCCAATCCTCTTCAATAGGATGGCAGGTCCACAAAACTATCACGTTAATAGTTACCTCTGATAGTCAAACTCATCAGATAATGGCTTACCAGGTGATGTACCTCTATTCCGACTTCATGGATAGTGCCCCACTAGGTGATGTGCCTTGTCTACCTTTTTTTATTCCCCTGCTAAGTCCTAATCAAGACTGGGGGTTGATTACTTGGAATCTACTAGATTAAGAGTAACGAATCTTTCACATCGTCAAGTTAACATTATACTTCTGACGATCATCACCCTCACGGAGTATGAATTCAGTTTGCATCACTCCTAATTTGTCACGTTAACAATATATCTCTGACAATCAACTTATCAATCCTCTTCGATAGGATGATAGGTCCTCAAAATTGCTCAAATCACAATCTTCCCCAACAAGACACTAAGTCTTCAAAATCTTAGTATCAAAATTCATCACTTCTGATGATAAACTTACTTAGCAATTCTCCCCAGCGAGACGCTAGTCCCCAAAATCTTGTTCAAATCACAAGTACACAAATCCTGTCACGTTAACACTAAACCTCTGACAAATCAACTTATCAATCCTCTTTAATAGGATGATAAGTCTACAAAGTTACTCCAATCGCAACACAAATCCTGTCACGTTAACACTAAACCTCTGACAAATCAACTTATCAATCCTCTTTAATAGGATGATAAGTCTACAAAGTTACTCCAATCGCAACACAAATCCTGTCACGTTAACACTAAACCTCTGACAAATCAACTTATCAATCCTCTTCAATAGGATGATAAGTCTACAAAGTTGCTCCAATCGCAACACAAATTCTGTCATGTTAACACCAAACCTCTGACAATCCACTTATCAATCCTTTTTAATAGGATGATAAGTCCATAAAGTTGCTCCGATCGTAACATTCTCTTGTCACGTTAATATCAAAACACCTCTGACAAAATCAACTTATCGACTCTTGTTAACAGAGCGATAGGTCCTCAAAGTTGCTCCGATCGCAACACTTTTCACTTATCAACTCTCGTCAACGGAGTGATAGGTCCATAAAAATACTGTTAGGTTAACATTACACCTCTAACAGTCAAACCCCCCAATGAACTTGTTAATCCTTTTTTAACAAGAATAGCAAGTTGTCATTTTGTTAATCCTTTTTTAACAAGAATAGCAAGTTGTCATTATAAAATCCCCAGCGGATTAAATATTTTCTAGAATTATCCTAGTGATAATAAAGAAAATTTCTGAATTTCACTCTAAGTGAAAATTCATGCCAAGTTAATATTACACCTCTGGCGCTTCCAACTTTCTTTCAGTGTTTCAAGTAACACAGGAAGAAATAACGACAAAGTCTACGTATTCAACATCGTAGCACCAAAATCCATGCCTTTTATGCATGGAGGACTTTATCTCGATCCCTAATTAGAGATAAGTCTGCATCTAACATATGTTGCCGGGTAGCCTATTCCCGCAATAATGACAAAGTCTATGTATTCAAAATCATAGCACCAAGTCTAAGAGGGTTTATTCTTTTAGCACAACGTTACATGTGGAACGGACTTAAACAATCCATGTGCTAGCCCGACTCAAACGGTAGTCGGTAAAGGCTTATCAAATCCGTTGATGGCTAAGGGTTTGCCAAAAATCCTATGAATGTTTGCGGGCCCATCAGCTGAATGGAGGTGAGCCGTGACGTGACGTTTGATGGCTTCTGCTCATGAGTAGCTTGTACCGTCGTTACAGTTTCTATTTGAAGCTCATCATCACACAGGTCCTGCGCGGTAAATCCCTTCAACCAAGGTGCCTTCGAAGCGAGTGCAGAGAACAACTCCTTTGTGATAAGGAATCAACAGCTCCAAGATCAGAGTTGTGATCCAAAGTATTTCAAAAATTCGTCCCAGTCAACCGTAAACTTTCGAAAACTTTGGAGGGGGTTCTGTAGGCTGTCTAAAAATCACAATAGATAGCTTATTCCCCCATCAAACAGCGATGATAAAAGTTACAATCTGACGACTTCCAGAAGGCTATAATTTGAAGACTTTCACGTAGATCGATGAAGGTTACAATCTGACGACCTTTACAACAACTGATAAAAGCTCTAATCAATAACCTTCACAATCAACATCAGGAGTTACAATCTGACGACTCTCACATATCAAAGAGCTAAAACAAAGATTACAAAACGACGATCTTTGCAACGCTCTGACAGAAAGAGACTACAAATCGACGGTCTCTTCAAACCAAGACATGAAAGTC